TAGATAATACCAGGATTGATTTTTTAGTGTAAAAATGTGATTTTTTTGTTAGAGTGGACAATACCAGGAGTTTTCGTTAAAGTTCCCTTAATTATAAGGAAAACTAATGAAAAGGGTTTGAAAACTTTGAGTTTTAATGATAAGAACAAAATAAAGGGTAAAGTGAATAGTACCAAGATTGACTTTTTAGTGTAAAAATATGGTCTTTCGTTAAAGTGAACAGTACCGGATGTTTTTCGTTAAAGTTCCCATAATTATATCTAATAACTACAGTTTACTACGCACGTCAAAAAAGCAAAGGAACTGGGCTGTAGACAATGGAACACATACGTGAATGTATAATTCATATAAAAATTGGAACATAGATGTGAACATTTTCCATCAATAGGAATATAACTGTATGTCGGTTTAAAACAATTTGAGATTGTATTGGGTTTGGCTTGTGTTTAATTTGTCACCGCTCGGCTCATGGTGATCGGTTTTATGAGAAACAAGCCATACTTGAACATTGGTATGTTCAAATCATAGTAGCTCGTATTTGTTATGAGATAACTTGAACTGGGTTCTATTCAAGAAGTTTATCCATCCGCACCGCACATTAATGGTGGTTTGATTGCCTTTCATATACATCTTTAGTACCACATAATGCGACAATGTACTTTTAACCCTTATGTTAAACGGCACGCCAAATCAAAGTTATTGGCCCTAAAGAGTGCTTTTGTGGGAGCTTGAAGTTAGATTAGCCAGTTAGGCATTTAAACATTTGATCACTTTCCACTTGACCAACCCCTTGGGGTTATCATATTCAAAATTTTACTATTAAAAAATTAGGTTTACTTTTTTTTTTCTTTCCTTAAATTAGATTTGACTATATTCAGTTATGCTTCTTTTTAATGCGGAGATTGATGTCATGTCCCCACATCTTCTTGTGTTTTTAAAGAAACTACAGGCATGATGAATTGGCCTCATACTGATTTCCAATCATCAAAAGTAAACACGTTTATATTAGGGCTGGGCACGGGCCGAGCCGGGCCCGATTTTGAAGGGACCAGACCAAACCCTGGTGTAAAAGAAACTGGCCGGGTCGGGGATAACAGATTTTAATATAGGAATCAAACCTAACCTAGCCCGGTTGAAATGGTCGGTTCTGGCCGGGTCCACGGGTCCTTTGATTTTATGTATTTACTTTTGTGAAACCGCCACTTTCCTCGACGTCTCCACCTCCATCAGCCGAGGCCACATCGTCCTCTCCTTTGATGCCGAATCCCTCAAGCCCCTAGAGTCCCAATCCCAGGAATCCCGACCCCTCAACTCCTCTGTCTTCGCAGCAAAAAGCTAAGTCCTTCACGACCATAAATCTGCAAAATCCGCATGAAATCGAAAAGGGTATAAGCAATGCAAATTGCCCATCACACACCAACCCCAAATACACAAAACCCAAATCAAATAATGCAAAACAATAAGAGGAAGATGAATTGTAAGGTTGAGTAGCACCTTTGCCGTAGCTGAGCCAGTAACATAAAGAAACCGGTCCGCCGTTAGGCTCCGGCTGATGGTTCAAACTTGGTAGCCTTTCTGATGGCTCGAGCTGCCAGAAAGACTGCAACTTTGAATTCATTCCCTGAAAATCTTACATCCGCACGGAGTAGTCGTAGTTGCCGGAAACAACTCAAGACCCAGTGTGATCGATGGCGAGGGTGGAAACGACTTTTGTGTGTCCCTTGAGAACAATCTCATTGCTTACCGGAATCCGAAACCTGTTTTTGAAATTCGCCTCCGAATCGGAATCGGAATCGTCCCTATTGTGGAAGACTAAGAACATAGGAGAATCGAGAGATGGGTGGTGTGACGGCTGTGGCGGTTTTGAGTTTGATGTCGTCGAGGTTGAAGAGGAGAAGACGAGTGACAGAGAGTATGTGGGTGGGAGGAGACGAGAAAAAGTCGAGTTACAGACTGGGCTGGGCCAATAGACAATAGAAAGTAATAGGTAATGAACGATTCGGGCTGGGGGCCCATTTTCTCCAATCTTTAGAACTAGCCCGTCCCATTATTTATCAGGAACTGGCCCGCCCCACCCCCTTTTGTATTTGTAATTTTTGGACCCGTCCGAACTGTAAAGACCCGACCCGCCCCGACCCGGCCCGACCCATGGGTCCAGGACTCGTTTGCCCACCCCTAGTTTATATGACTATCTTAAAGTATATGTTTGGAACTTTTGTGTTATAGTAATTGTGTACTATTTATTATTTTATTAAAATACGTTGTCTCTTATTTTTTGTTTTTTTGTTTTTTGTCAAAGGTAATTTCATTACCGTTAAACAACAAACTTAATTACATAAGGAGGCCCAAATATACAAGATAAGCACACAACAAAATAGGATCCCAAAAGTAACCCAAAAATAGCCCAAACCGAGTTTTGAGCCCAAAACAGAGAAACCACACACACTCCGTGGAAGTCTGCCACCAGCTGCGCACCGGAACGCCGCAATCCACGACTCCAACACCCGCCTGAAATCAAGCCGAGCAAAGCCCCATCAGTGGAAGAACAGAAGACTTGATCATCCTCCAAAGAGCACTCTAGAAATTGCAGCTACCAATCAAAGACCCAAACTATGGAAGCTAGTGGGAAGAAGCAACCCACAAGCAACAGTGCCAACATAGGCACACAGATGGAAGGAGGTGGTGCAAACACCCGAGCCGGAGCTCTACGCTCCTTCCAAGAGAATCGAGAAAAATCGCGTAGAAAATTAGTGCTTGCAAATCTAAAAGGTGAGGTGGAAGAGAATCGGGAAGAGGGATGGACAACAGAGAGGGGAAGGAAAGGGCAAACGGAAAGGAAATAGGAAAGGGAATGAAACGAAAAGAGGAGAAGCATGAGGGAGGATGGACAACAAAGAGGGAAATGAGGGCTGAGGACAGAACAATCAAAGGCAAGAAAGGGTAGATGAAAGGGGCGAGCAGGCCAAAAAGCAGAGGAAGAAGCAGACTGAAAAGAAAGGAAGTAAAAGGAAATAGAAAAGAGAAGGAAAAAGGGACTGCCACCGACCCTAACCATAACTAGGGTCTGCGGCTACGAGATTGACGGAATCGGGAAACTCTCACACACCGGTGAGAAGAACTTTCACGAAGGAAATGGCTCAAAACAGCTTAAGCTTGGTATCAAGCTTGAGTTTATAGGCTAACTCAAGCTCAGCTCGATTCAGAAGAAAGTGAAGCCTGGCTTGAGCATAAAAAAAGTTAAATAAACCAAGCTTGAGCGGTCTAGTATTTCGTTGAGCACAAAAGGAAATGTGGGATGAAGATGTTCATATATTTTGGTAGTACTATTATGGAACAAATTACCATGGCATTAACAAAAACTAAATTACATTGCAGACATGTAAAATACCTGAGGAAATGTGACGCATGAAGAATCAAGGAGTCTCGGGAAGATCAGGGATATACCACTTGAGAATCACTTAACTAGGGGCAATAGATTTGCTCGATGTTACTAATCGTGGATTCACTCATATGATCAAGTCAAACACTTGATTTTAGAAGGAAGAGACACTCATTCACTTCAATTACACACAGTAAATACATTTTTTCAATTCATTTAAGTCTGTCTAAACTTACATATGGAGCCCTTTAAATCGGGAGATATATTTCACAGATATAAGAGATAATTAAATCTAAAGAAAACATAATATAGTTCCAATGCAACCTAATAAAAACCATGACTTTGATAAATGAGAAGTCACCGATATCCATATTTAATATAGGGACCATACTTATATTGTAATATACTGCATCATATTCCTCTTCTTGAAAAACTCTTCCTCGAGTTTTATTTGAGTAAACTTCAAGCCAAATTGTGAAGTGTAGCAACTATTATTTCTTGCAATGCTTTGTTTTCTTCTTCGAACTTACAAACAAATTTGTTGCATAGAATGTAGGGAGGTTGGCCATCTCTTGAACTCAAACTATATTATTAGGATACCCAAAGAGTGCAATTAAAATTTAAAACACTTAACAATTCCTTTCTTTCACTCAACCTCTTGTTGATGGTAGTATGTAAAAAATCCCACCAGACTGTATCATGGAATTGAAACTAAGCAAAAGTTTGTGCTACCTTTGTCCATACGTTGGTGATGATTTGTTGTCTTGTGTCCAAATTTGAATGCCATCTCCAAATTGTGACCATCATGACCTTCATAGATGGACTCCTACCGCATTTTTTTTGTATGATTATTTACATACTCAAAAGGAAGTGTTGCAGTCCTAATTAAGTTAGGAATATGATTGTGTAAATCCTGTTAAAACTCTATTATATCTTTTAGAATGTGTCCTATTTTAGTTGTATTATCAAAAGGGTAAAGGGATTTACCTTCCCTCCTACTATAAATAAAGACACAATGAGGTTAGATAACACATACCTCATAACCAAATCTCTCTCTTTCTATGTGTATCGCACCCCTCTCTCCTCTATAATTCTTCAGTTAAATAAGCCTACAACAATGTATTAATCGTCTATATAAAGGTGGCAGACCTCTGCTATCACAAAAAGATAACGCTCACCGATTGACTAAGACCCATTTTCAGTTGAGCATTAAGAATCTGACATAAGGGAGGACAACTTTAAAGATCATGTATGGTTTCTTCTCATATATGATTTCTTCATCGGCGCTTCTACAAGTTAGATTATTCTCACAAACACAACACCAAAACTAGATTTCTTCTCGCTCAAAAAGTCCCAAGAGCATTTAGTACTGAACTAGATTGGTATATTTCATCGTTGCCAGCCTACATGAAATAATGCAATGTCTGAGCGTTTTTCAGTCACGACCTTTGCAAAACAGATGCTTTGACGCAAACAGTTTATAAATAGGGATTCCCTTTGCACCATCATCCAATTCATCCCTAAAAATTCTACAAAGGATTTTTCAACAATGTTCTTATCGTATTTTCTTTTCATACATGGGTAGGATTTGCCCATAAACAAAAACTGAATTTCATGCCAATACAGAGATTGAAGTTGGAGTTTATTACCAAATCCGGAACACGTACATTAATTATACATTCTTTAGGCCCAAAAACAGAAAGAGCGTACATAAACCATTTATCATTATTCTTTAAACAAATCCTAAAAACTTCCTCAAAAGTGACCAAAACAAATATCGAACAAAATGACTAAAACAGTCTAAGAGAGCTGAAAGACCAAGGTTTGCCTTTTTGGTTGGCCACAAATATTCCAGCTCCGTAAGTAGAAATGAAGATCTCAACAAGGTGGGAAAATTGCATCCATACGAAGGAGACAATCGGAACACTAGCAAGTAAAATGATCGGAACCACTATCCACTCTTTTGCTTCCAGCATAAGAAAAAGGGTAGAAGAAAATGCAATCACCATGGTAACCATAGAAGAGAAGAGGGTGAAAAGTCCTATAACCATTTTTGTTGGCAATGATTTAAGGAAATCATCTTCAGCATAACGCGAGTTGAGAATTCCTAAGAATGTTACCACTGAAGTTGTGGAAGAAAAAAGTGAAAAGACATCAGCAACTATAAAGACCATAAAGATCCTTTTATTTAAGAACAAGGGATAGCCTGCCTTGGTTCCACCAGGAACTGAGAATACTGCAATAAACATGATTGTAACAATAAGAGCAGCAACGACCGTACAAGAAGTTGCTGTTGCTTTCATTGATCTTTCACCTTCGTTTGCCAATTCCTTGTGGTTCTTAGTAAACAGATCACGGGCGGTCATGCCATCTGCATAGTTTACAACTTCAAGAAACTTGGCAGGCACAATTTTCTCCACCTCCTGCATTTCAGTGAATTGAAGAAACTCAAATATCGTTATTTAATTTATTTTCTTCAAAGATACTTATCCCAAATAACCTAGCACTCTGAGTTCGTAACAGTAATCAAATTTTCATTCTTGTGATTTCATTTTTATTTTGGTTGTTTTTGTAAACATAACTGTGAGGATCAAACTATCAATGACTTGTCAAGCAATCACTTTATTCTCGAGTAACTTATTATTTGGGTGACTTGATTGTCAAAGTGATCTTATGACCCAATATGCTTAGAATAATAAAGTCTTAACCTCTGAATGACGCCACTTAGTACTACGATCTAGTGATATTCCTCTTCACTTGTAAGTGAGAGGTCTTAGGTTTGATTCTCGCCAATGACGAGTTTGAACCACATTATTGCTAGCATATTGTGAGGCTAAACCCACATTCTCCCCCTTAGTATAGATACATTGTTTGTTCAAAAAAAACAAAACAAAACAAAACAAACCAAACCTCTGATTAACCTATTATGTGGTCCCTCTTTAGTAAAGAGTTATTATGGTCGGATATAAAATATATAATTGTGATTATGAGTATTTCTCAATTACTAATAGGCTTAATTGAGAGATAGCCTAGCAACTATATAAGGATTGTCCATGCTCTCACAATAATTGTTCTATTATGTGCTAAACTCTATTCATAGCAAGAACATATAGTTTAGAAAGAGTAGAAGACATTCTTATGCATACGCTGATTCTTTTGTCATCTGGAAAAGCCATGTTTTCCGTATTCTACAGATAAGTTCAATATAATTAGTTCATCTCTATTTTATATTGATTCGATTCATTATATTCGTGATCCTAATGTCTTGTTGTGATTTCAGAATGTCTTACAGTTTCTGAAATTGCAAATTGCTGTCACAAATAATCTAGTTTTATTTGGTATATTTTCTAAAAAATATAGTAATTTACCAATTTACCTCGTAACTAGAACTCTATACGGTAAAACCTATTTATAGTGGACCTTGTGCTTTGGTAGTAAACGCCATTTTCTTTAACCCACTACGTCTTAAGATTAAACCCTTATCAACTTAGTCAAGCTTATAATAGTAATATTGTTTGTAAAATTTTGGTCCCAACTTGGGCCAATCATAAGTAATTATCTCCATTTTGTAGTATACGTCCTAAGAGAGGTGATGTTGAACTAGAATACTCCGATATTGGTTTTAATGAGGCCACGTTTTAGTAGTCACTCAAGTTCTTTTTATATAAAGATAGGGGTGTGATCCACCCAACCATTTTTACTTCTCATATACTTTTCTAATTTTCAGCCGTCGGATCGGATGAACTGAAGAAGATCAAATGACAAAAATTAAAAAGGGACGTGTAAGAAATAAAAAGGGGTGTGTGGATAGCACACCCCTAAAGATATTGGTGGTGGTTGTGGACTTGTGGTGGTGGTCAAATATTGCATCAATCATAATTAGATATTAAACTCATTATCTATGAGAGCCGAACTTGAAATTTGATTAATAGTATAGTGAAATTGAATATGTTGATTAGAAAACAATATATAAATATATAAATATATATATAGAGGAAGAAATTCTAACCTTGAACCATTGTAACTCCCTCTGCATTTGCAATGATGCACATTGGATATGTTTAAGCTGTGTAGGTGGGGATAATCTTGCTGCTGAATGTAGTAAAGTATTGTTGAACTTATCTACTCTGAATTCAGTACGAACATTCATGATTCGGACAAATTCATGGAAAAAGTTATAGACTTTTTCTTGACGGCATTCAATGGAAAACTGAAACATGCTCTTTGCATTTTCGTCATGTATCCCTAAAGCTAGGATATTTGCATTAAACAGCTCACGAAGAAACTCATCATTCCCATGTTCAACAGCTTTGAAGAGTGCTGTTTGTATGGAACTTCCTTGCATTTGTTTAAGGCTTAAACCTTCTGTCATTTTGCACATGCCTTGTAAAACTTCAAGAGATTGAACATGGATTTGTTTCAATTTGTATATGTGATCGATTCCTAGGTTGACATAGACAAATTATTAATCAGTAAATTTCAAAAAGTACGACCAGAAGAAGTTCTAAGCGATGAGTAGATAAATTTTAGACTAAAAAGTGAAAGAACATAATAACAAAGTATTGACATGAAGCATTACCTAAATTTGAAAAAAAAAAAAAGCATTACCTAAAAGTTTACGGAGATTTGAGACGAGCCCTCGCAGTAAAGCCATAACTACATTGCAAATATAAAGATGTTTGCATTAGCTATTCAAAGAATTTGTTAATTATGATCTATAACGAAGTAATTGAAAGATGCGCCTGACATAACTCTCATTTTACTATATATTTTCTGGAAAAAATGCATAGTGCCATTTCACATGGATATTACATACCCAAGCGAATTATGAGACCCCTTTGATCATTAACCTGGACATTGGCTTGTTTTAAAACATCTATACGAACATCACGGATCCCAGAAGCATGTGGAATGTTTAAACCTATCAAGAAAATTAACACAGGCATCTAATCAATATGTAGAACTTTTCTTTTACTGTATAAATATTTATGTCTGTGAAACATTGAACCTTTTCTTTTACTGTATACATATTCATGTCTGTGAAAGAGAAGTTTAGCTGCATACCCAAAATAAATGATTAACATAGCACACAATGGACACTGATAAACATTAATAGTACACATTAAATTTGTTTAATCTTCAATTTTACACTAAAAAGTAAATTCAAGAGGGAAAATAACCCACATTATAATATTTGAGCAAGACCAATCCCAAATTAATACAACCCACAATTGCCAAAATTCTAATTTAACCCATAACCCTAAACCTTAACTGCCACTACATATTGAAGTCGTGCCACTATAAAAATCATCGCATCTCACCTTAAGAAATGGATCTGTGAACTAGAACCTGAAACACATTTTTATATGAGTACAGCAGAATATAAGTTTGTCTTTTTTGTCTTTTTTGGTTTGTAAGGGACTTACTGGTGAAGACAAACATAAGAGACATTTAGGTTTTGGCGTGTTGTATTACTATTTCTTAACTTAAACTAGTGAAGAAAAGCATAGCGTGGAGACATAAATTAATCATGCGCAATCATAGAGTGTCAAATGGACTATAGACTCAATTTGCCAGAAATACTTTCGACAGAAACGACCATCTCCATTAGGATAAAGCAGACCAACCCTCTAAGGACCAGCAAAACCAACAACTATCAGGCCCCAGGTCCCAAATCTTGCCAAGCTTTCTACCAGACATTTTATTTTTCTTTGAGGGACATGGTTGTCAACCCCTCGTACCTCGGCTTTGAAGGAAGTTGAGATTTCACCATAAAAACAATTGTCAATATGAGGAGTAGATGAACCCTTTATAAGCACTTACAAGATTTCTTCTTTCACCAATGAGAAACTTTTTACCTTCGTATCATTACACGCTCCCCCCCCCCCTCACACACGTGTGACGAGTTTCTGAATTAACCAAACACAATAACAACACAAATTGGGTGATGTTGAGCACGTGTGGTCCTTGGACTTTACAACCTACGGGCATCTAAGCAGACAAGGGAGGCGTCTAGGTAGACAAGGGAGGCGTCTAGGCAGACAAGGGAAGGGAGAATCGTCGGCTTGCTAGCTTGCTACGACCAACTAGTAGACGACCCATGGGCCTCTTCCACTATAAATAGCTAAGTTATACAAGGAAACTGGTTTATCACAAACTATATTCAGAATTCTCTTATGAATTTTAGTTTCTCTCAAACTTTTCTAATTTAGACATTGGAGACAGTATTTTCATCCATACATAAAATGAATTTTCTTTTTCTCAATATAAGTATATAAAAAAAAATATGGAGTTTTGAGATAAATCAAATCGCGTGAATGGTGTGCAGGTATCCTTGCATGTATAACATTTAGGAGATTTTGATTGAAAAACCGGCCAGTGCCCACCCGACTAAAGGGACAGAGAAATTAATCAAGTATAAAATTTATCATAGAATAGAGTGCAATTACTAACTGTTATAGATCCATTGTTGCCAGAATGTAAGATGTGTTCCACTTAAAAAGAGAGAGGGAATACAAGCCAATTCTTGTAAAGGTGTTTTCCCGGTAGAGTTTGTAGCAAAGGCCAAGTTTGGGCAACGCTGAATTAAATCCAATGCAATATCTACAATATGGTAAAAAGACGAAGAGTTACACATATGGCAAAATATAAGTAATCAATATTTGTTAGGAAAATGCTATTTAAGCAGCAAAAATAACACATTCTCAAATACAGGTGGGTCTTATATATAATGAACCGATCCACTCAATTAGAAAGTGTGTTAGAAAATGTGTGCATACGAATATTGTATTTGAAACATTTAAGTACCGAGTTCTTTGGAGCTAAAACAGTGGGAAATCAGGTCAGCGCTGGTCCGATAGTTGTCTTGGGTCAACGTCAAAGCTTCCAATGGGGTAACTGAATACAGATAGCGAGCCAATTCCCATTGGCCGCCGTGACAAGCTTTAATCAGTGGGATCATATTCAGGGGATTGCATGGTATGCAAAGTAATCTCTTGTTCTTTTCGATTATGCATCTAGCCACTTCGGGTGCTATTAGCGTAGCCAGAGCTAAAGCTGTGGCACCATTAGCGTCTTCTATTTCCAAGTCTCCTTCTGTCATCCATTCTACTAATTCTTTTGCCATATGTTCATTTTCCATTGAAACTGCTATATGAAGAGCTGTCGAGCCTGACAATGAACCTCTCTCTCTGACTGCGTCGGGATGCAAAGTAAGATAGTTCTTTGCAGAATCCCAGTCACCTTTTGCAACAGCATGAATCAAGGGTTGATGGTGGGGGAACTCATTGAAGTCGCCGTTAGTGTTGTAATAATCTGTCAAGTAATATTTTTTTTGGTCGAAATCTGTCAAGTAGTATTATATATGGATTGTTTGTTAACTAAACGTCAATAATTTGAGGATGAATTATGTATATAGTTGAAAATAAAAGATAATTAACTAAATCGAATAAAATTAAACAAGACAATAAAGATTCATGCATGCTGCAGTAAAGATCACATGCATAATACGTACCCTCATTCCGCGTCAGACAGGTATTCAATTCATATGGCATCAAAGGCACAACATCTGCATCGATCACACACGGTGACTTAATTAGAAGAAGAAAACTCGATCTTGATAGTTATATTGGAATTAACTTGGAAAGGAGACATGTAGTACGTGCGTACACGTACCTGTGTTCTCCAAGGCTTGATCGGCCGGCTTCAACTTTTCAGCCAAAGTATCCCAGGCGACTTTGGCCGTGCTAATGCCCCGGATAAAAAAATAAATATCATCCCCGCAACAACTCTGGATTGCATGTAGAACTTTGGAATTATTCTTCCTCCAAACCATAAATTCAGCTTCACCATCTTCTGGTCTAGGCGGTTCAGAGGTCCCTCCCACAACCTCCCAAAGATCTTCAGCCAACAAGTACGTTTTAAACCGAAAACTCCAATCCTCATAATTATCATGACTAAGAACTTTAAGATTAGCAATTACACTAGGAACAACTGTAGCTCCCATGTTCAATCTGCAATATAATTATTTATACAAAGTGATAAATATTACTTCGATTGATTAAGAAAATAATGAAACAAATCAAAATAATTAAACTCACTGCTCGATCGAGTAGTTGTAATAATCTTCAAAAAATAATTAATGTGCAACTATGAGTCTACGTACGAGCTTAGCTTAAGTAAATTCCCACTCTGCGCACTTGGAGTGAGTAAACTTCTGATGTATATATGATCTATATATAGACAGCAAAATGAGCAATGAAAAAAGACTAGGCAAAAGACTCAGAAGAATATGCCCCACCAAAGAGCATCTTTAAGGAGGATGTTAAATTCTAGGTGGAGAAGCTACTCTGGTGGAGAAGCTACTGTGCGTATTTGATATAAAAAATTCTTTCAATGGAAGTGTAATTTGCTGACTGGATTTGATGCCCTTGTGATTAGGAGTCAAATTTGATGTCATCATCACTTTTAGTTTTTATTAGTTTATGGTAGGTGAAGAAGTTTGGGTTCTACCATAAAACCAATAGGCAATATGGGGAGTAGCCCAAATACTTAGAACAGATGTAAGGTCTCTCATTTTCCGACTGTGTGATTGATACTCTCTACACGCCCCCCTCACGTGTGACAAATTTTCAAGCTTAGCACGTGGACAATGTAAATCAGGTGACGTGGAGCAAGTGTGGTTGTTGGCCTTCATACGTAGAACAACCTGCTCTTATATTATGAAGAAAGTTGAGATTTCACCATAAAACTAATTGACAATATGAGAAGTAGTCAACCTACTATGTGGGATTAATACTATCAACAATTTCTTTAATAAATACAACCATTTAAAGCTCTACACAGATAAGAAAATAATATTTGACAATTTCGTTGGAGAAACAAAAAAATTGACATAAGATCATCTCCAAAGGAAAGGTGAGATTTTAAACATAATATTTGAATTTGAAGGCCTATGTGGCACTTTATTTTATTTTATTTTTTTGTAATGTATGGAAAATGCTAGGTAGACCAAATTTTGTACATCTAATGATGTGGGTGACACATAAAACTGATTAACGTATTTATTTCTTGTTGGTGACACATAATTTGATTTGCAAATTTGGTTTAAAAATTTGGTGTACCTAGCATTACTCTTAAAGTTTTGTTCTCCACCCGATATGTCAAATTAAAGTATTATTTATCACATTATTTACTTTTAATAATTGTAAAAAATATTTTTAGAAAAAAACAACAATAAAAATGATAAAAGCATTTATTTATCAATTAAAAATGAATTTGATAGAGGCCAATCCATGTCATGCCACATAAGAATTAGCATTTCGGTTGGAAAATACTAAAAGCAACTCCACCTGTTGTAACTTGTAGGAGGGCAAGGGTAGGGGTAGTGAAATCGCCTTTACTATTCACTCTGAACAATAATAGTCTTTGTGCAAGTTCACCATTTTGAGAAGACGAACGGCAACGTCAGTGAAATTGCACTTACTATTCACTCTAAACAGTAATTGCCTTTGTGCAAGTCCACCTGTTTGAGAAGACGAAGGGCAAGGATAAAGGCGATTACCATTCACAAATATACATTTTTTTTTATGCCTTGTAAGTGTGTACTTAGTTTGTTTTTCTGAAAATAAAACTCTCTATTCAATTCTGATAATTTAATTTTAAATACAGAGACACATAGCATTACAAACAAGCATAATTAATTAAAAAATTGTTTATTTATTTAAGTATGTTTAATGTTAAGTGTGGTGGTAGTTTTTTCTATGTTTTTACCTTTGGATTAATCTTGACTGTTGAGTTCCAAACTATTTTAAATCAAATGCACAAGATTGTGCCCCGTGGTCCAACCTAAAATTTTCATTTTTTTAACGTAGAAAATCTAACGGTCGGGATGAAGGGGTCGTTGGAAGTCCAACAACATAGGGTTGTTGTTTTGTTCTCGGTGGGCTGCACGTGGTGGAGCCGAAGCTCTGCACTGATGTTAGCGAGCACAACCCACAAGCACTTGCCCGGGCATGAATAGGCAGGGTAGAGAAAGGGCACCAGCCCTTGGCGTAATTGCCTCCCCAATTTTGCACCGGTGGACCACTATTTTTGGACCAAAGACAATTTAATCCAATTGCCTTATCAATTGGGCATTGGGCGGAGAATATTGTATTTTTTTTTACTGTTATTGCTGATGTGAACCTTTTAGCATCTCCTTTCTAAAACTTAAAGTTGCCACATCAACTATCAATTATAGTTTGACTTTTATGTTTTGACATTTTCATTGGAGATGTTCTAATACTGCATTAAATTCCCACTTGATGTTCACTGTGCGTATTCAATAATGGGAGAGTTCTATCTCTAATTTCAACCATACAACAGTACTGTTTGTCTTCAATCATTAATACAATTAACACTCTTAGGCCTTGTTTGGTATTGTTTTTTTTTTTCCCACCAAAACTGCTTTAAAGTTAAGAAATAAAAGTGTTAGGTAAAAATATAATATCAAGCTTATTTTAAAATGAATAGCTTTCAAACAACAACTTTACTACTTTCATAAAAAGTAGAGCTTAGATTCTTTAATAAATATTTTCAAATCAGGTAATACCGTTATTAGTTTTTTAAAATGACGTTGTTTATCCTTTTGCACACACATTTTCTTTCTTAGAAAACAAAGTGAGCACGACCACCTAACATTGCAACCACCAACCTTACACCACCACTGCCATTACCACCGCAACCACAATCGTCGTTGTCTTTGTCCTACCACCATTGATACCTTTACACCTCCAACCACCATACCCCACATTGGCACCACCATCATACTCTCATCATTGTCGCTACCATCAACACTACCACCATCACTGCAACCACCACACCATACTATTGGTACCACCGCTATTCCTCCATTTTTGGCACCGTCACCAGCACTGCTATCCCCAGCGATGTCATCGCAACCACCCCCCAATACCAAGTCCATTTATGTCTTTATACATAATCATAACACTTTTAGATTAATATTTACCAAACACTTTTATACTCCCTTTCACACTCACAACACTTTTAAAATACAAAAATTCACCAAACAAGAAGAATCATAAATATGAAGTGAGGTTGGATTTTTTTTGTAAGATCGAAGCGCATACATTATTGAAAAAAAAACACACACACACACACAAACATACACTGGCTTTATAATATCTACAATCATGCTTTGTTTTCAAATCAAATGTTAGCTAAAAATACTATCACGTTATCTTATGAGCTTCCTATAAAAATCTACTCCAACCAATGCTCTTTAATTTAGGAAATCAAGTGACTATGAATTAACAGAAATGAATTTTTTATTTGTCGATGTAGAATATCACAAATAAAATAAAAGTAATTAAAGATAGAAGCCCCTCTCACTATCCAAATGTTGAAGCTCCTCCCACTCTACATACGTAGAAGCGATTTTGTTAATCAGAACAAGTGCATGATAAAGTTCACGCTGACGGGGAGTGATTAGAGAGAGATATTCCCAAATTCATTGGCCAAACCTAATTATTCCCACGTGAAAGATTAGAGAGAGATTTTCCCAATTCCATAGTCCAAACCTAAATAATATCCCACGTGAACTAGCTTGGTGGTATATTTTAGGTAAAAGCTTTGATCTGTACGAGAAACACTTAGCTCCCAGGTCCCACGGCTCCACCTTCTTGGTAAAACGCACTACGCAATACATGAACAGTCCACATCAGACACGATATTTTTTGACACACTCCCTCGTCTCCACTACTATAATTCTCCACAACAGAGATCCTTTGATCGACCGGAAGAAAAAAACACACGATTCTTTTGAACACGCTCTCTAGTCACCACTACTAGAAGTCTCTACCCTACTTAATAATGGTACGTTCTTTGATCCCCACAAAAGAACGGACGTCCGTTTCTGAAGGAATGAGTGGTATCTGGAGTGCATATAGCATGATTCACAATTCATATACCATTCAGAAATGCAGAGTATACTGTGCATATTTAGCGTCGAGAGTGATTGATGACTTTCTTTTAAACTGGGTATTAGGGCCTCTGTTGAAAATTTTATGCCGCTTGTTCTCATCCATAATTAAGTTAAATTTTGAAGATTGTAATTAAATGACGAACATAGATCATAGCTAGTAAGGTATTTTCAACGAGCTAGTGGCCAAGCAGCCGTAATTTGTTGGGGGCTCAGCTTCAATCCCGCACCCTAGCTAGGATTCCGAAACGAAAGCATATACAGCTCAGAGAAATGGAAGTAAAAAGGAAGCCTTTAGAGCATTTTCACCAATTTTGAAGGATTTGAGTCTAGGAATAGAGAACTGCTTTAGCCTCTCAAAAACCACTCTTCATGCACCCATTTTGAATAGTAAGCAGTTACTATTGACAATGTAATTTTTTTTTCAAGTATGATTCAATAATTTAACAATTATTCAACGAAAAAGATTATTGTAGAACAAGTTGATATGATTGTGTCACATGTTCATATTTTATTTTTGCTAAATAATATTCTTTGTGATGAATAGTGGTTTGGAGTATGTTTCAAGATTTAGTCTTTTTGGAAAGAGAACAATGAGATGGATCAACCTCATCATATTGCCACGACTGAAGATGAATATGGCTTTTTAACTTCGTTTAGAGGGTTGAAAACAATTTTTAATTTTATTTTATGCATATTTCGTGTACTTTTATTACTTACAACGTTGTTTTCTTATAAGATTGGAAAGTTGAAAACAAAGATACATAAAACCGTAATTTTGGCGTGAGGAGTGAAGAAGATCATTTACTACTTACAAAAAAAAAATCTTTTAAAATTAATTTTCTTCACCTTTTTATTTTAAAAGATTGTGAACGTCAAGATTTAAGCGTGAAGACTTTATGGGACAAAAATGTTCCTCACCCTTGCTGTCTAAATCATAAAATCTACATTTGTGGGACAAAACCTAAATGGTTTGTCGCTCAAAGGATGCCATATAACAAGCCAAGTTTTTTCCTTGGCATGAAAACTTTACCCGACAAAATTAGCCTGTAGAACTACTTTTGTCGGGCAAAATCCTTTGAAGAAACCAAAATGTTGACCCTTTTTGCCCGACCAACATTTGTATTCTGTTGGGTAAATGATTATTTGCCAAACGAAAGTCTGTTCGTCAGGCAAATAGTAATTTTTGGTAGTGTTAAATTTTCTGCATCTTTTCCTATTTCTTTGTGGTTTTCCGTAAATACTTTTCGTGATATCATATTATC